AAACGCCTTTTAGTATTTTTATTAAACTTTCAAAATATCTTCTGAAAGATATATTATTTTCAATTTTCAAACACACATTGAGCAATAATAATAAAAATCTTGAAAGCGAGGCGATAAAAGGAGAATCAAATAGTTTGTCCAATGAACCGTTTCACGCATCAAAAAGTCGTAAGACGATAATCGACAAACTTTGTGCAATGTGCACCTGCGCTGATTTTTTCATATTTATTATCGTTTGGAAGTAACAATGTCGGAAATGGCTTCTTGTGTAAGATTTTGTCGTAATATATACATATATGTACATGTATAATTATATTAGAAATGATTTAATATATGTATATAATTATGTAATTAAGAATATCATTATATATAATATAAGCCGCAATAATTTTATGTAACTGACTCTTTCAAATCTTAATCATGATCTCTTTATGCTCAATATCCATTGTGCTTTTAAGTCTCGTACTACATTTCATCACAAATTAAAATTTTAAATATCATTTTGTGCCGTTAATTGAAAAACATTTTTTTTAATTTTTTGCAGATTCGATTTCGTTTATTTACCTATCGTAGTCATGATTACCGATGAAGGTTTAATATAGCTGAAACATATATTCAAAGTTTTTATTTCTGATTTCTACGATAAGAATAAATATTTTTGTCATTTGATTTAATCATTGTAATTGCTTGTGTTCATTAATCATTATCTCTCTTTGATTATGTTTGCATGTAGCGACCTTGATTAATAACTAACAGAATATTATTATTATATTCTGCGTGTGTGTGTGTGTGTGTGTATATTTAACATTAAAAATATAAAAAAAGAAGTGAAATTAAAATAATATTTCAAGTATCTCTACTTAAAAAGTCCCAGCATAGAACACAATTCTCCGAGCGGCATCTTGAAGACATCCTTTATGACGTAGACGTCCTTTGGACATCTTTTAAGACAGTGTTGTATGAAATAATTACACAATTATAATATACTACACAAAGTACGGATGACATTTAAAGCGTATTAAACATAATAACACATTAAAATGAGAGAACAAAATGTAATAGATAGCGTAATGAGAAGTGCGGAAACTGAAGAGATTTTTACATCGATAACAAGTAAAAAATTGTAGAAATAAAAATTCAAAAATGAGCAAGGTTTCCAGCAGCAGCATAATTGACACGTCAATATTGGTGCAATATTGGGCAAATCTTAATTGGGCAAATCAATAGTCGGCAAATTGGGATAATAATCGGCTTCCCAATATTGGCCGAATATTGGAAAAACAATGTATAGCCAATATCGGGCAAAAATTGGCTCCTCAATATTGGCCCAAAATTGAAAAACAATCTATAGTCAATATTGGGCAAAAATTGTCTCCCCAATATTGGCCCAATATTATCTGGAATTATCTGCCATTATCTTTGGTATCTTTTTTTTGCAAAATATACTTGACGCCTTTTTTACATTTTTACTGTCTTTTTCGGTTGATTTCACGAATTTTTAAGTTCTTGTTATTAGTACACTTTATATTCATATTTAAATAATAATATTATGATAATAACAACGATAAAGTTAATATAATAATAAAAATAATGATATTTGAAAATAATTAAGAAAATTATGATGTCTTTCCAATAAGTATAATATTTGTCCATGGCACTTATTGTTACGTACTTTTTCATTCTTTTCCACGAAATATATAAATATTTTGTATATCGATTAATCTCTATTAACTCTCATTGCGCTCTCATTCGATCTATACAAATACTACGTCAAGTTTGCGAGATAGTCACTTTCTTTTTTTATTCTCGTTCTCTTGCATACTTTTTAGTGACAACTTCGACGGTAATTAACGCGAAGTGCTATCGTACGTTTTAAACGTGACAACATTTTTAATGCAACTTTTTCGTATTTGTTATGAATTATGTTTACATGTAGAAGAGATGCGAAAAGGTGTAGAAAAGATGCGGAAAAGGTGTCAAAAGTGTGGGAAAGTGGATAAATAACATAGACGAGTAGATAACGTAGGTGATAAATATCATAAATAGCCAAATAAATAACGTAGTTAGGTGAATAGATAACATCGAAAGGTGAATAGATAACGTCGACAAGTAGACAGATAACATCGACAGGTTAATAGATAATGTAGATATATAAATAAATATGTAAATAGATAATATACGCAGACACAGATGAGACGCGAAAAAAGTGCGGAAGAGATGCGGAAGACGTACCGAAACGTTGCGAAGATGTGTGAAATAAATGCGGAAAAAGACGGAAGTAGTGCGGAAATGATACTTAAACGGTGCAGAAGAGATGTAGAAGAATTGCGAAAGGTGTGCAGAAATGATGCGATGAGGTGCAGAACAAATGCAGAAGAGATGCAGAAGAAGTGTAAAAGTGGTGCGGAAAAGGTGTAAAAGTGGTACGGAAGAGATGCAAAAGAATTACGGAAACGATGAGAAGAAATACGGAGAGGTGCAAAAGAAATGCAAAATTAATGCACGGGAGAGGTGCTGAAGAGATGTGGTAGAGATGTAGAAAAACTGCAGAAAAGGTATATGAAAGATGGGGAAAAATGCGGGAAAGGTGCGAGAGAGGTGCAGCAAAAGTGTAAAAGAGATACAGTAAAAATGTAAAAAAGATATAGAAAAAGTATAGAAAAGGTATCGAAAAAGTACAGAAAAGGTGTAGAAAAAGTGTAGAAAAAGTGCAGAAAATAAGTGTAAAAAATACAGAAGAGGTGTAGAAAAGATACTGAAAAAGTGGAGAAAGTGCGGAAAAAAAGTGCAGCAAAAGAAGACAAGATTTTGCGAAGACGATGACGACGACGACGACGACGTATCTGAATGAATAAATGACATAAATTGGGCTGAAAAATACATGCACATATTCATATCTACGCATCAAGCACACTTACAGACATAATTGTTATCTCATTTTAATTGAAAAAATTTGTTTTTTTCCCAATATATGCATTTTTTTATAACATCAATTTGTTTAAACAAAACAATTTTTAAGCGAGTTTCTTCCTGTAAAGGATACGCTGTAGAGCGTCTCTTTCATGACATGGTATTATCCTCTTCATAACGTACTACAAAAATATACTTGACGGGAAACGCTACCGCGTCTCCTGATTTATAATATTTATATATAAAATATCTGTAGTATATGTAAACAATGTTTAAATATACTACAGTTATTTTATTTTATGTTTACTAAACATATATATAATAATAATATATAAAGTACAATAACATGTATATGCATATTATAAAACATAAATTTTTGCGAACAATTAGCTGTGATATGTTTTTGGTTATTAAGCTAAGAGCAATTTTTTTTTAGTATTTATGAAGAAAAAAGCTGTTTTTGATGTAATGTTTTACGGTTAAAGCCCACGAGATTCGTAATAATAAAAATATGGATACCGTCGCGCGGTTCGATCGTTGCTAAGCATCACTTTCGTCGCAGTTATTTTCAAGGGAGGTATGCTTTATCGCGTCTTTTTTATTGCTCGGGTGTTAAAACCGATCGTTAAACTCTTAGAGAGAAAATCCCGCTTTATGATTTTTGAAAAATATGAAAATAATACACGTTGGTTGTACAAGGTGTATAAAAAGTACCGGTACAGCGAAATATCTCGAAAATTAAGTTTTTTGTTAATTGAACAAAAGAAATAACTTTTTAATTTTATGTCAATTCTTTTCAACTCTATAGTTTCCAAATTATTTATTTATTTTTAGAGTAATGTAAGTATGATTTCAGATGATTATAAATTTTGTTAAAATTCTGACAAAAATTGATGTAAAATTTTGATTGAAAACGTTTGTTTTTCTGTAAATTCATATTTCAATTAATATAGATAAATAGAAGCACTTACTTCTAATTTGGCTCGTATCTTTTATTTTGTTTTCATTAAAATAATTTTTAAAAGATTTTTAATGTTATATTTATACGACGCAATTAAAAAAAAAATGATTTGACTATAAATTATAAGAAAATGTATACAATGTGGCTCTACGATGTCCATTTTGAGGCGGAAACAAGGGATATGATCATTCTTTGACAACGGGCACTTAATCAAGGCCTCTTCGAGTCGGACAAGGGTGGGTGAAAGGCGGAACGAGCCCAAGAGCTTAGTCTAGGTGGCAGACTCCGGGGGTTGCCGGACTGAGCGAGACCTTAATTTCCTGTAGCACTACGGTTTATCTCTTCCGCGATTTATCGACTCCCTCGAAAGTTCCACGTTTGCGATTCCCTCGAATCCTAGTTTGGGTTTCTTGCATGCTTGTTGTTGCATCGCCGACCGATCGATCAGTCGACGTTAGGCTGAGAATTTCAGGGTGGTTTTTTTTTCCAATATGTTGTTTGTCATAAATGTTTATTTAACTGTTACGATCTTTTGAAGTATTTCGACTAGAATTCTATGCACAGCGAACATGCACGCTAAAATCGCCAGCGGAGATGTTTCCGGTGTCTAGCGAAGCGTTACGCGCTCGCGCACGTGTGGACGGGCTTTTAAATTAGATTATTATTGGCTTTACAATTCGTAGCTGTAATGGAAATACGATTACGCAACTTGCCTTGATATTTAATTAAACGCACCAATAGAGCTATTTGCAAGAAAAAACTGTTCGCCATAATGATTGTTGGAAAATGTAAATTTATGATGTGCAATTGAATGTTCTTTCATGCTTTATAATAGCCGCTCGATTTATTTAAAATAATTGTGTTGCGGATTTTTTCATGATCGAGAATTATTCTCTTTGAAAGTTATTTTTCACACACAATTACTTGGACTATTATCACAACATGTTCATGTCTGTGAACATAAAATCTTGTATTCAAGAATTTTACCTTTAAAAATATCTTCAAATTTATCAGAAAATATTGTACGTTCCTGAAATTTGACGTGTTTTAGGAAATGTCCCGTATATATTCAGCATTTGCTTGTTCTTGACCCTTAGCGTATGTCGAGGTGAATCGAGCTCGGCCACTTACGAACGGACACTCCCTACTAATTTCCGGCAGCAAATATCCCAATTTCGGTCCTGCGTTCTTCCCTTTTTTCGCTCTTTTCCATCTGATTTGAACCATTTTCAAACGATGGGGATATTTCTCACCGACACACGTTTGCTAAAGGATATGAGTTAATCGCTATGGTTAATTTGTATTTAATTCATTAAAATGAGTTATCGATTTGTAAACTGATCATAAATATCAAAGATTAATACGTTAATTAATTTAGTATCACTAATCGTTTTTAAACGAAACTACATTTGCTTGAATTTATTTTTAGATTTATATCAGTAAAGTTACATTATTTTTTATATCACAATAAAGTTTTTTACAGTAAAAAGGGCAAAATATTGATAAAAATATTGATACATTAAATAAATATATATTTGAGCAATAAAAAAAGCACTGTTACATAAAAAAAGTTCCAACATAACTGCAGTTACTTAAAATATTGTGATTACATCAATTCTGATTATTTAGTTATATATTATTTATTTATATTATAAATTTTTATTATAGCATAATATATTGTCATAATTATTGTTTGTCTGGTTACATTACAGATACGTGACTGGCTCACGGTCGAAGAAGAGATGTTGCGACAACAATCTGTGGTCGTCGGCGATGTCGACGATATCATGCATCTTTTGGACAAACAGAAGGTAAGTCAATTATTAGAAATAATTCGACCCCTAGCGATTTTTCTTTTGAATGAAGATTGTTTATATCATTATCATTAATCCCTATAAATATTTTTTTATTTAGAGCAATATTCTCAAGTAAAAGTAATTTTATAACTTGCGAACATGTACAAACCAATTAATCAAAATGTGTAATCAATGTTGGACATAATTAATAATGATGTTTAGGATCAATTTCTTAAATAAAAAGTAACAAATATTATTTATTTATATATATTTAAAAGGACAATATGCGTGATATGATAGCTTACTTGTGTATACAGAAAACTTAATGTGACGTTGTTCATAGTTCTATTGCATGAGCATTTTGTTGGAATTATGCTAAATATAAAGATTTTAATATATTATATTGAAACATTACTAAAACATAGCCATTTTTCAAGTTTATCGCAATTCGCTGAAGTGATCTGTAAAGGTGATCAGCAATTACTTTCAAGCTGCTTAGTTCATGCTTGCGCGGCATTATTGAAAGCGCGGCCGTTGCCTTTTTTCTTTCTTCTATCTTTTTATCTTTATATTAGTACAAGAGCCATACCGTCGGAGCGGCTACGAAATTAAAATATTAAAGAGTTCTTAGATACGCTGCTTAGTTGCTTCCACTTTCTTCAAGTGGCTTGAACTTAAAAATTTTATTTTGCGATTTAATTATCAATGGGTTCTCTCAAACAAATATTGCAAAACTTTAAATATTTATTACTGTAGTTTTTCATCGTCGTTTCATATGAACGAACAAACGGTAAAAGCAGCAGAGAAAGCTAGAAGTTCGAACGTCGGTAACTTTGCGATCTGTCACAGCAGTGCAGTCGATACTTCAACCCCCAAGGTTCGACTCAAGTGCTTACTGCAGGGGTAAAATGCTCCTCTAGCTTTTTCACAGCCAATTCAGCGTGATACCGTAAGTGGAAAAGTTATCATCGGACGATGAAAAGCGAGGCTGCTTGACCGCGAGAAAGAGCGAAGTCATTACGGTGGGTGCATAAAACTTCCGGGATGCAAAGATAGGGAAGTGTAGGTGATTGACCGGGAAAACCCTGACATTGGCATTGGCATTAAGGGTCCGACGAACATTGCCACGCCTTCCTTTGTGCGTCGACGTCGTGCTGCGCGTTATTCCGCCATGGTTGTTAATTGCATTGGGCTTAATGGATCGATATCCAGAATTGTCGTAAGCGACACGAAATCGCTGCTTTGTACGCAGTGTAGAGTATAATAAATTGGAGTATAAATTAGAGGAAAATTTATCTCGATTGATGTGTGTGATGTTGTGCTTCTTAAAATTTCCATACGCCAAAACTTATTAATTTTATTGTACAATGATCTTTAATACAGTATTTTATATATATATATGTATATATATATAATGCTTTTGTTTAACTTTATATAAGTGCACACGTTAAATGAATATCGAATAAATTGATTTTTTATAAAAAGGATAATTTAATATAGCACAATTAGGTTTTACCGTACATATAATATTGACATTTTGTGTTATATTTAAACGCACGCGCATAAAAAAATATTATGTATTAAATTTATAAAGCACTGATATTTTTGTATTCATTATATTTAATCTATTCTGTGTTTTTTATATATATTCTCTAAATCTGAATCAGTGGATAATCACTGATATCAGTGCCAAATATGCCACTATTCATTAATCATCCAGTGACATATTTGGCACTGGATAATCAGTGAAGTTCAATTAAAAAAAAAAGAAGGTTTGAGCATTATATATTCTAATATTGATATTTATATGTTAATTTCAATCTTCTAATATTATATTCATTGAATTTATGCACTAAAATAAGATTAATTAGATCACATAATAAAGGTTAGCTAGGTTAGGAATTTCACATTTCACACACTGATTACCAGTGGCATACTTGGCACTGATATCAGTTATTATCCACTGGTTCAGATTTAGAGAGTATATATGTATAAATATATAAAATATCTTTATATTTTAATTGAGTATGGCGATCTTAGAAACATCTTGAGATTTTTATAGATATAAGATAATTATGAAATTGTACTCGCAATAACAAACTTCTTGTAATTTCATCATTTTGCACTTTTCGTAGTTGTACATTTCTTTATGAAAATAAAAAAATTTCCGCACTTTTAAATATAAAACCACAATTAAAAAATAACAGCTGGATCTCTGTTTAAAAATGATTGTAAAGCATAGAATTCTGCTAGAACTAACAAGAAAAATGTCGCTAAAATTATCAGTACGACACTTTTTCCAAGTGTCGTGTTGTTTTCTGTATTTAAAGTACATTAAAATTGATAATTGTTAGAATTTTTGAATTACATAATATCTTGGTAAAAGTTGAATAATACTAACGGAAACTGTAGTAAAAAATGGAAATATTTATCTTTTTCTTATATTTTTTGAGGGGAAATGTGCTAGATTCTCGAAGTTAGCGTGCCATATTTTTAATTTTGATTTAGTATAAAAAATGTGAAATATATATTCTATTTTAATGTTATAAGGAACTGTAGAGCTATGAAAAGTGCTACTGGAATTGTCATTTTTTTTTATTAATAGAATATCGTTAACTTCATTTTTTCGTAAAAACTTCGAGATATTTTTACATGTTCTCATCCCGTGAATATCTGGTTTCTTTTTGTTATCATAGTCTCGTGGTAATGTTCTTCCATGAAAAACTCTACCGCGGAAATAACGTTTACTGTAAATTTTCTCGGGCCGAGGTACGAGAGTACATTATTACATGTCCCTTCACTCCCCTTGCCTTTCTACATTTATATCTTGGAAAACATCAGCTTCGAGGAACTGGTATGTTCCGAGTTGCATTCTTTTGCGCGCGGATGCAATAGTCTCATTATACTTTTTTTTTCAAATGCTCATTCTAATTCTAAGACTTTACCGTTTTTAATTTGCGTTAAATATTTTTCTCATTTATTTCACGGCGCACTTTGTCAGAGATAACTTTTTTCCTTTATTTCATATAATTTAATTCAAATCCATGATTATAACGTGTATGTGGCTATAAGGATGCACGAATAAACGGTATAGGGAAATGACACAAATCATTAGTTTCAATTCGGCAGTATTTCTTATCGGAAAAAAATAACCTTGCGCGCATGAAAGGTTTGTTCGTTGATGTGAAAGCTTCGGGAAAAAACGGCGTGATAGGATTTCCTTTCGAGATAGGAATTCTTCTTTATTCGAATGGAAGCGAAGTCATTTTTTTTTCTCATGACGTGCGCCAGGCGGTTGTGAATGGGACAAATGGCGCACTTGATTGATTAGTGATATTGTATTCTGACAAATGACAAATCATACGGTCTTCTTTCTGCTTATACGTACGGAACGGAGATTCGAAATTTTCGAATACATTTTGAGGAATGACCGAAAACAATAGGTTTGTTACTGTGGCATTGCTATTGATTTCCGATTGTGAGAATGCCGAGGAAGAGATATTTTGGCGCGCAGAAGGTATACAGAGCGAAGACAGAAATTTGATCGAAAACGTATTGGATTTTCCATATAAGTTGATAGCGTTTAGGATTATATCGTTCTCTTTACGGAAATCGTTCCAAGTTAATGCGGGAACTAATTATACATTTGGAGAAGACTACATAGTTCCATACGCGACTAAGATATTTAACATCTCGCACTTCAAATCTCATTACAATTACACTCGATGTAATTGTCAGTGGATTTTGTCCATCTCTCTCTCTCTCTCTCTCTCTCTCTCTCTCTCTCTCTCTCTCTCTCGCTCATTTTACCCCATCTTTCCCTTATTCTCATGAGCTTACTTAAGCTTGCTCCACTGTTAGCATTACACAAGTCATTGTCGTCACCTGCTACGTAACAGGATTCGTCCAACAAAGCCCAATTATGAGATCCAGGAAGCATGTTATGCTTCCTGGCATGAAATGTGCTTTTAGTCGCTCGAGAAGCATTCTGATTTTAAGCAATAAATTTTTTTTATAAAATGGAGTAATCAATATACGAATATGGATTAAGTAACGTGACGCATACATATATTAATTAAAAATTATAAAGAATTTATTACAAAAAATATTACGACATGTTTCAGTGATCGAATTGAAATTAGGCATCAGATCTTTAATTGATTATTTCATTACTTATTTTATTTATTCATATAGATTAACTTTCGTTGTGCTGGGACTTTCCGATAATAATAACTTTTATGTCTAAAATTATTTGATATCAATTAGTTTAAGTTTTCGATTTATAAAAAAAAATATTTACATAATATTTCCAAATAGCAACGAAATATTTGTTAAATATTTGTTTTGTTTTTTATTGACATTGTGAGCACTGATTAATATTTAATATTTTGTAAGATAAAATTTTCTTTGCCCTGTGGATTTTCATGAAATATATAATTCCGTGAAAAATATATTTCATCTTAACACGCAGTTATCTATACCTTTAGTATAAGTAAAGACGCAAAGAAGAAATTTAATAATATGCTACAATAACGGTGTTGCTTATACTCGTGATGTGACATCGTTTTATGATGTCACCGATAAAATTTCCAGAGCAGCGCTATTTAAAGAATGTGCTTCCCCCATAGAAACCTCGGATATAATATCTACAAAAGCAAATTTATTATTAATTTAATTTTTGTAATACATATATATTGTTTAACACACACATTTAAATTATATACACTGATAGAAAAGATTTTGTTAATTTAGCAAGCCATCAGTATCTTTAACCGGTGATCGGTAAATATGTGACAACAAATTATGTTGTTATGATTGCTGCTAGTCTGCTATACCAACCAATTATTAACAACAGAAACAAACTATATAGAATCTAACCTATCTTTTGGATAGACTTTAGCTCGTTTACATAGAATTCGTAGATGATCGTGGAG